TTTGCTCTTCTAGAGATCCCCGTTGAAGCACCTAGGGGTACTCTCACAACACTTATCCGTGAATGAGTAGGGAGAGACTGCTGACCGTATAACCGTTACCTTACTCTAAAAAAAGTGTTGGTTATAAATCTGTTTTATAGGGAGGGAACCCCTAACTAGATTTAGAACAAAATACCATTTTCTACCATGTAATGTACACGAGAAATGTCTTGGGGCGTCTGTGATGTTACCTTTAAGACAAGCTCCTGGATCTCTGGGTCCTTTTGCTGTGCGGCAGAGATACTAGATATGTCCACTGGTAGGTTGGTTGGTAGGTTTCTGGATTTTGTAGCTCTTACTACTGCAATGATGTCTGAGGTTAGTTGTTCTGGTGCCCTGATTACGTGTGTCTGGAGCGCTGTTGATCTTGTTGTGTTCTTAGATTTGAGTCCTTAGATTTGATCTAAGGACTTAGATTTGGACAAAGATTGGACTTAGATTAGGACAAATCTAAGGACTTGAGTCCTTAGATTTGATCTAAGGCACAACAGAAGACATCAATAAGGCAAACTAGCTCTACTGTATATATAGCAGGCAATGACCAAAACCTGTCAAATCTATATATAAAACAATAAATAAATGCTTCTCATTCATTTACCTCTTTTTATCTTTCCAAACCCCTTAATACAACAAACATGCATATTTCGACAACATAAACTCAGGACAGCATACAAGTCAAAATCTTATCTGTTCTGATGTGATGACGAAAATGATACAGTTGCTGAATGTTCATTCCACACAGTGTAGAAATCAATGTCCATGAAATCCAATGTCCAAGAATACCATCCAAAAATGTCCCCAGTGCAACACGTAATCCATGGTGTAGATATCACTCCAAACACTGAACAAGTCTTTAAAGTCTTTAAAGTGGCATAACCCGGTTCAAGAATCCACAACAGTTGCCAACCTAATTCACAGCCTCAAAACCCTCAAAACCCATAAGGATAAATCCCACAGAATGTGGAGTCCTTCTAAATAAAATGAAATAAATCACATTAGAAAAATAACTACACAAATTACCCAAAAGCATTCAATCAATACAAAACAAGAAACAATGCTTACTTCAGATTGAGCATAAAACTCAAGGTTTCTCAATCAGGACAAGTGATTATTTGGAGCCATAAGCCATGCTTACTTCCCTCCATTACGAATCTGACTTATCTGACTTCCTACACCCATTTTATATCTAAGAGTATAGCTCCATGTTGCCCCCTCATGGTGGGTAGTACGGGTAGTACATAAAAAACATGCTAACAGGTTTGTGACTGTTACAACTTGGTGACAAAGTTATGGCTAAGAAACCCACTACAGTCACTGAACTGTGGAAGAGACTGAAAGAAGAGTGGACCAAGATCACACCAGAGCAGTGTGAGAGACTAGTGATGTTCTGCGGCCGCAGATGTGCTGAAGTCATTCAAAGCAGAGGCCTCTACACTTCTTACTAATTTCTGACAGTTATAACCCTCCAAGATTTTAGTTGTGATCTTTTGTGCTACAGTAGTTACTGGTCTCTAATTTGATCACTCTGTTATCCACAAAATAAAGGATTTTGTTGAAATGCCTTGGTTATATTGTCAAACATGTTAGTAGAACAGTGGTATACCTACAGCTAATATTCCTTCAAATTTTAAGCGATGAAGAATAACAATATTTCAGAAAAAATCAAGTATTTATAAATTGATTCTAATTTTTATCTCCACTGTGTGTGTGTGTGTGTGTATTATATAAATATATATAACATATATATATACACATATATATATATACGCACACCTGAAGCACGTGCTCAAGCCGCATCTCGCACAGCATCTCTTCAGTTCTGCCGCACACGTGCAAAGCGCACGCACACACAGAGAGACGCGTTTCAGACCGAGTTGCTTCGTCTTTCGCATCTCCTCCTTATGTTTGAACAGACACATACACACAGAATTATGTCAATAGTACCCGTCTCGACGATCATTCTCGTAAACGCAGTCGGTTATGTTTTAAATGAATGTAAACAGCTGAGAAAGACTTATGATGCAGGTCAAAAACAGGCATATGAATATAAGGATAAATCCCACAGAATGTGGAGTCCTTCTAAATAAAATGAAATAAATCACATTAGAAAAATAACTACACAAATTACCCAAAAGCATTCAATCAATACAAAACAAGAAACAATGCTTACTTCAGATTGAGCATAAAACTCAAGGTTTCTCAATCAGGACAAGTGATTATTTGGAGCCATAAGCCATGCTTACTTCCCTCCATTACGAATCTGACTTCTTCTACTCCCTACACCCATTTTATATCTAAGAGTATAGCTCCATGTTGCCCCCTCATGGTGGGTAGTACAATTACAATATAAAAAGCATGCTAACAGGTTTGTGACTGTTACAACCGTGCCTTAGATCCAACGACGATGAATCGAGAGGTGAATGAACGCAACTTCTCCGTGAGTGACGCTGCATTCGGCTCCGAAAAACAGAACGAGTGAGCAGATGCCACGCTGGCCTATTTATACCTGGATGTCCGGGGCGTGGCCAGCTATGCAAATTCTGCACACCCAATTTCATTGGCCTTTTCTCAAAGATGTCAGAGGTGATTGGGCTCTCAAGAGCGACCCCTAGTTTCGTACACTCGACACAACGTCGGAGTGAATGACAGAAAGAGAACATAAAATTCGAATTAAATTCTGCATCCTGTTTGCTGCCTCAATTCAAACTGGATGTGAATTCAAAGGCATTCCCAATCACTCTGAATGGTGCACAGCCCAGGTAAACACTGGCACCATGACAAACGCACACAAAAAGGCTTTTTAAGAACACAAATTGCGCATATATACTCATGGCAGGTTGTTTCGGCAGACGGATGACGCACATGTGCACCTCACCGCTACCGCCATGCCGTACGTGTTACTGCAAACATAACAACATTCGAGGCAGATCTGAGGGTAAGAAATGCCCTCCACGCTGCTCCAACAACCGTGAGCTATTTACATGCTCTGAATGATGAGAAGATAAGCAAGGAAAGTACGACGAAACGGAAAAGAAATGTTTCGGAAAAAGCAGTCACACAAAAACAAAGATATACTGTACTGTAACGGCCCCGGTCCCTTCCCGGCCCTGGCAGGCGCAAAGGAATTTCTACAAACTCAGACATGTCATTATAATTCCTCGCTCAAATTACAATTCAGCCTCTTGGACTGCGAGTCCAGAGGAAACTGGAATCTTTATTGCACTTTGGACAGGAGTATGTAATATTCATTAATGTCAGCGTATAAAAAGAGCAGGTCTAAATATTTTTGTAGGGCTATTGCATAATGTGCAGGGGGAGGGAATATGTTTCAACAGCTTCCAGGACTCCTGCAAAATGTTAAACAAAGGAAAGACAGTCTGACTCCAGCAATTAGGCGGCCAATAAGAGTGAGCCATTCTACGCCGAGGTCAGGGCTAATGTGCCGATTGGCCAGCGTGGGAGGAATCTGATTCCTGTGTGAATGAGACTGTGAAAGTAGCAATGAAAACATGTGAAGGCGCTGGATGAAAAGGACACCATGGCGCAGCCAGAGTCTCAGACTCTCAATCCCCAAGCCTCATTAAGCAGATCCAAGTGTGTGTGTGTGTGTGTGTGTGTCTGTCTGTCTGTGTGTGTGTGTGTGTGTGTGGCCGAGAACTGATTCTTAGTCAGAACTGCTTCCGTCTCGTCAATGACTAAGCTTATATGTGCACAAATAATGCAATTATTTCCAATAATCAGAGTAAGGACTTAATCGCATTATGATGTTTACATGTGAAGAGTAAAGCTCTTCACTCCTGTTTACATGCAATTTCCATTATTCATATTATTCGCTAAGAACTGTGTGTTTTTTTTTTATTCACGCCATTATTTGCATACCCCACTGCACAGCACAAATGATGGACTCAGAAAGAGTAGGTGTGTTACTGGCCGCTGTTTTAATTTATTTACATCTAATGCAAAACACTTGTATGGTTGTATTCCATGCTCTGACATTTTTGATTCTGTGTTTTTGTCCATCAATGTACTGCATTCTGTTCATGTCACGCAACGTCGACAACATGAACTCTGTTTCCTTGGCTCCCCAGAAATGCGATGCTTTCCTCCTCGCCATCGTTTCTAATCTGCGTATTACTGCAGGTGCATGTCACATCATTCATGTACGTCACAAGCTCAAGTGCACTTTGGTCAGAGCGGCAATACTGCGATTAAGGTGTTTACATGCCTGTATATTTCGATTAAAATCGGTGTACGCCACCTATGTTAATATGATTATGCTTGCTGCGATTATGAGCTTAATTGCATTATTTAGATCGAAGTATTGCCTTTACACGAGGTAAAGTTTAATATTGCCAAAATCTCATTATAATCAAATTAAGAGGGTGCATGTAAACGCACTGAATGATACTGGAAGGAAATACTCCTGCATGGCTACTGAATACGCAGCGCAGACAGAAGTAATGCCATGTTATTTAAGTTGTGAGGTGCAACTGAATGCGATGAGAAATTGTTATTTTGTGCCGTTCAGTCTAAGTAAATAAATTGACAACACATCTGTCAAAACATGCATGACTTTCTTTACACCCTGGAACCTAAAAGAAGATATTTTGAGAAGTATCTGTTTTTTTCCATGCATTAATCACCAAAATTGTGTGGTTACCAACATTCTTCAAAATATCTTCTTTTGTTTTCCACTAAAGAAATAGTGAAGAAATAAGAGAATGACATGAGTGTGAATAAATGATGACAAGATGATCACTTTTAGGAGAACTCTCTCTTTAACTTCAGAAAAGCACTGAGAAATGCAGGAAAAGTCAAAAACAGGTCAAGATGGCAAGATTATACGAGCTGACTCAGACATCTGATCAAACTCGGATCCTCTCTACAGAAACCTCTAATCTCCCCCGCAGGAAAGTGTAAGGGCCAGCTCGTTACCCATGATTCTGAGTGTCTACACCGACCTGAGGTCCCATCCTTGCTGGAGAATGTGGAGCAGGTTGACTTTGGGTTGTGAGGTTTGTTCCAGCGCAGTGTTTGTGTGGAGGTGAGGTGATTTCAGCTCTATCTCTCCCTCAACCCCGTCCTCATTCTCACTCATGTGAGAGGACTGAGACGCTTTCAGACCTAAAAACACACATCAGATATTATAATTTTAAAATACTACAGGACTAGTTTTTAGCTTTGAGGAGGTGATGTGTCATTTAACTTCTGTCATATACCACAACTAAAGCTTTTCCCGTTGTGTTGTTCGATGCACCTTCATTATGGATTTAAACTTATCCAACTTTCTGTGTAAAAAGTGTTCAAGTGCTGCTGGCTGGCATCTCATTCAATTGCATCTCAATCAATAAGAAGAGTCTAATCGTGGAAATGTATGGGATTGGCCACTGTAAAAACAGCATCAGGAAATATCTTCACAATTCAAGCACTTTTATGTAATAAGGGGTTTATAAAAGTAAAAGATGTGGATTTTTCTTTTAATTTTGATTTCAAAGTCATAATAAAATTTATTTTTCTCTTGTATGGTTATTATTGATAAATTTAATGCATCCTAATTAAATAATAACATTCATTTAATTTATTTTATTCTTACTTACCTCAAACTTCTGAATGGTAGTATATCACTGTTTCCACAAAATATGTTTTTAAACGGTTTCAAAATTGTTTTCAGCATTGATAATAATCAGAAATGCTTCTTGAGCAGAAAATCAGCATAGGATGACTTCTGAAGGATCATGTGACACTGAAAACTCAAGATTCTGCTTTGCTTCAAAGGAATAAATTACATTAAAATATATTTGCATAGGAACAGCTATTTTAAATTGTAATGTTTCACAATATTACCATTTTTTACTGTATTTTTGATCAAATAAATGCAGCCTTGGTGAGCAGAAGAGACTTCTTTCAATAATATTTAAAACAATCTTAATTATTCCAAACTTTTTTCTCTTGTCTCAAATACAGACTTTCAATCATAAAATATGAATTAGGCATTTTAAAGATATTATAATCTAAATAAAGAGCAAAATAACTTTACTATTTCACTATTATCAACTATTTCAATATTTAATGAGTGAAAATGATTTACATCAGTTTTCACTCAAACTAGTTGTGCAATCATTACCATCAGGAACAAAATGTAAAATTTTATAAAAGTTTATGTTACATTAGTGTCAGAGCTTGAGATGAATATTTTACTTAACATCATTTCTGAGCTATAATTTGTCAAATTATGCAAAAAGTGAGAAAATATGATTTAATTGTGTGTATTTAGGATTAGGGTTGCAAAGGGGTGGAACATTTCCGGTAAATTTCCGGAAACTTTCCAGAAATCCCTGGAATATTCCAAAAAATCCTGGAAAGTTTCCAACATTTCTGGAATATTTCCTAAATTTACTGGACATTTTCCACCTTTTTGCAACCCTATTTAGGATACGTAAAATGCTAGCTATAAAACTGGACAAAATGCCATTTCCGCTACAGAATGAATAGATTTGAGATGTTGTGGAAAGTCAGAAAAAAGAAAAAGAAAAAATACTATGAACTCTCCTGTGATCTATGTGTATCAACTGCAGGACATTGGTGTAACCAAATAAATACAATTTCAACTTATTAACTGGACAGAGTCAAACATTGCAGATGATTTTTAGTAAATGCTCGTTACCAGATATGAGCTGTCTCTCAACGAATCGCGCCCCAGCACACATATCATGCAAACGCACCTGCTCGTCTTCTTCCGGCGGAGGCTCGTCCGGGTTTGCGTCTCTGCTTGCGCGTCTCCAGACTAAGAAGCTTCCTTTCATATTGGACCACATGGTGCGTGTAGAAGGTCCCCACAACCAGAGATATATCATCACTCACCCTGTTCCTGTGGAATAAAACAAGGCAAAACAGACATTTATAACCTTTTGTGTTTGTTTGCATTCAGAGGTTGAAATTACAGGCACTAACCTCGATCGGGAGATCACAGATCTGAGAAACAAAGAGCAACAGATCATTTTAAACAAATGTGAGTCTGGGAAAGCTATTCTAAAACATTCTAGAGAAAAGCTCACATAAACTTGGCCATATTGGAGTTTAAAGGAACAGTTGATCCCAAAAATTTTAATTTGCTGATAATGTGCTCACCCTCAGGACATTCAAGATTAGGATGAGTTTGTTTCTTCATCAGGTTTGTAGAAATGTAGCATTGCATCAGTGTCTCAGCAATGGATGCTCTGCAGTGAATGGGTGCCGTCAGAATGAGAGTCCAAACAGCTGATAAAAACATCACAATAATCCACAAGTAATCCACAGCACTCCAGTCCATCAGTTAACATCTGGAGAAGACAAAAGCTGTGTGTTTGTAAAAAAATAAAATTAAATACATCAAGACGTTTTTAATCCATAATAATAACGCTTCCTCCAGTGAAAAGTCCATCTCCTGTTGTCTCTCACATCAAAATCCAGCCACATATTTGTTTAGAGCTGTTTTAGTTTGTAAACAGTGCTTAATCTGTGCAGATTTCTCTCCTGATTCAGACCAGACCACTTTTTCACTGGAGGAAGTGAAATTAATTTTGGCCAGAAACAATGATTAAAAATGCCTTGATGGATTTATTACAAACACGCAGCTTTTGTCTTCTCCAGATGTTAACTGATGGACTGGAGTGCTGTGGATTACTTGTGGATTATTGTGATGTTTTTATCAGCTGTTTGGACTCTCATTCTGACGGCACCCATTCACTGCAGAGCATCCATTGCTGAGACACTGATGCAATGCTACATTTCTCAGAATCTGATGAAGAATCAAACTCATCCTAATCTTGTATGGCCTGAGCGCGAGCACATTTTTAGGTCATTTTGATGTTTGGGTGAATTAGTTCTTTAAGGGCTCCTCCAAGAATAACAATCATTTTATCAGTGCACATAAGCCTTTGTATGACATACTCGCACTAAATATCAACAATAAGCCCTGAGGCTGAAGATTCCTTAAATAGATTCAGATCTTTTCAACCACGGTGGAAAGACTTACCTTCCATGGAAAAGTTTATTAGCCAACATGGCGTTCATAGAGGTCTTGTATTCCAGATAACCACTGAGAGAGAGAGAGAGAGAGACATAATTACAGACAGATTAATTACATAACAAGTCCAAACAAATTCTGTGGTAAACAATCAATCCTGTTGGTTTCAGCATTGACTCTTATGCAAACGAGAAAGATACAAGCTGAATGAGAACATGATGTTTCCTGCACTTTTCAATTGTGTAAAAACTGTGTACTGCTGAAACGAGAAAACAATGTCTGTTAGCTTTCCTCAACAACCGCCCTGCATGTTTATGACAAAACACATGTAACGATGGGCTAGATGCTTTATGGTGACTGCATCGGTCACGCTTGAGCAATATAACTACGTTCTGCCTTCAAGCAGCTAGAATTAGCTGCTGCATCACTAACGGTGCAATCTAATGGTGCAACCGCGGTGTGAAATACAAAATTATGAGGTGCTGAACATTAAATGCTGAACATTAAATGACTGCACAATTTTTTCCAGACCGAGCTTAAACAAGCATTTGAAAAGGTTTAGCTATTTTCCTGTGTCAATAACAATATATTTTGGGTGAAGTAAATGTTTATTTAAGTCATGAATGTCTCTTTCAGTCAAGCTGTTATAACACTATCCCGTTATGGGACAGCGCCTGCTTCCGAGCGCATATTCAACATGTCTTTAGGCAATGAGAATGAAATGTTCACACAGGGATGGAGTAGTAATTAAGCAAGCACTTGGGCCAATGCTAAATAAAAATCATTTAAAAATTAAAAATAAAAACATTCAAAAACCCTACAGAAAATATTACAGAAACCTGCTCGAGTAATCTCTGCATTCATGTTTGCTTCAATCATTTTCAGCAGAATAATATGAATTGAATACATGTAAGTTTTCACATCATTATTATTTTGAAGTGCATTCATGCTTTTTAATTATGTGGACCCACTATTAAGTGTCTTTACTACATTTAATTTAACAACTTACATTTAAATGAATCATTTAATACAATGCACTTATTGTGTATATATGTTTTACATTGTACTTATATTTAAAAGTACCTTCCTGTACTATACATTACATCTGTAATTAATTTCTGTAGTTACATCCATAATTACACTGTTGATGCTACCTCTACCCCTTAACCCACCCTTAAACCTAACCTAAACTTAACCACAGCACCAACCTTACCCATGTATCGGCAAAAGTTTTATAATTCAACAATTATTATTATATATTATTATTATTATTATCATTTTGTTTTGATGTAAGTAAATAGTAAAGACATAAAAAATACATATAATGTGGGACCAATTCATTAATAAAGTGATAAAAGAATGGTCTGCTTCAAACATTACTGCTTCAAGTATTATTTGAATTATTTGAAAACAATTATTTCCCGTAACTTCTAAAAGACCAGCCCATTTTACGATGTATTTTTACTACAAAAATAGTTTCTATTAGCTTTGTTCCAGTGCAATTCAAACAGATACATACATAAACAACAAAAGAGTTTGATTTATGTATGCATGTATTTATTTATAATTTATTTTTTTAATTAAATAAAATTCAAGGGTATCAATAATTTCGGCCACATCTATAGATCAGGGTTATTTTAGTATTACTTATAAACGATTATACTTTTATGTAATATTTTGAATATTTTGGCCTGTTCACAACAAGAATGAAAAACTGTAACGATAACTATATTAGCATCCACTCCCTCACACAATAATGTTCTGTTTATTATAAGCACACGCTGCAGTTTTGTCGTCTGCCGCTTTAAATGCTCGAGCTCATTAAAGTCTGTCTGTCAATGTTTTTATTGTTCATCAGCTAAAAAAAAAAAAAGGAATAATTCTGAGAGTGATTCCAAAAATATCTTTCCTCTGTGCTTATGTTATACTTGTGGTGTTTTGTTTTTTTTTTTAATTTAGAAAGATTTTTTAAATATATCTTTATTGTTATTGTTATCATCCTTGGTGTGAATGGGCTTTTACGTTTTATTTTAATATTTCAGTTTATTTTTTATGTGTTTTTGTCATTTTATTAGGTTTTTTAATATATATTATATTCAGGTTTAATTTATTTATTTTTTACTCAGTTTTAGTTCTTTTTTATATTTCCAATTTTAATGCTTTAGTTAGTTGCCAAGGCAACTTTTCTCATTTCCCTTTAAAGTTTTCATCTAATATTAATATTTTATTTGAATAGTCCTAGTTTTATCTAGCAATAATAACCCTGCTGTAGATCTGAATGCCAAAAAAGTGTGACTCCATTGACCTGTTTCAATCCATATTTTACATGCACAATCTTCTTAGCCTGTTGTTCAGTAATGATACCCACTCGTGCTTGCAGAGGGTAACCCGTCTGTATTCAGAGGCAGAGCACACGAGAGCACATGCATGACTGATGGAAATGATGGACGCATGACTTGGCATTGCTGCTATCTCATTTTCATTGACCATCAAACATACTCATGTATAAGGCAGAAAGAAGAAAGACTGGGGCTGGCACTGATTGCTCTGGTCTAAGCACATCTGGTTGTTGGGGGTATTTGATCTAATGGAGGGTGATCCCTGTAACCTGTTCACAGATGTTTCATATCAAAAGTAAGTGGTGTAATGCTGCACCTGAACATTATTATTTTATTCTAGTCTTCAATTGTGTTTATGTTAGCATCCTTACTACGCTAAAAATGGTGCAGGATTTACTTTGAAACAACTTTCCCTCAAAAATAGCATTTTACAAAGAATTTGTATCACTTATAAAGAAACAGCAACATTACATTTTGAATCAGAAAGACTGAACTAGCATTCTCTTTTTTTTTTAAACGTCAAACGTACTCCAATAAACTCCAAAAACAGTGTAGAGCATTATTAGAGTCACTGGTTATTTTAGCCTTTAAGTTTATTTCTCAAATAAAATCAGTGAATGATGTTGAACAAACCATCTTAGATCATCTTTGTCTCTTAAAGCAGTCATGAACTGAGAAATCAAATTAACTTGATCTTCATAACAGGTCAATGTACTATAAAAAAACCTCCTGTATGTTTCAGAATTCAAAACTTTCTCATTAGTTTAAAAACAGCTTTTATTGAATCCAAGCTAAGAAAACGACTCGTTTTGGAATCTGTCACATTATGACGTCATAGTGCGATGAAAGACCGCCTCTGCAGGAGAAACACTTGCTAACTTTTCTCTGAGATCAACAAACTTGTTAAACCATCGTCCGTAGCTATTAATAGCTCTGTTGATCTTTGTGAATGCTTTCAGTCTTTTTTCCTATGTAAAATTGATAACATTTACCAAGATTTTTTTACCCCACCTTTCTCCATGTCTGATAGGTCACCCACTTAACACTTTCTTACCCACAAATATATCGGCGGTCAAACAACTGATTATCAAATCTAACTCTGCCTCCAGCACACTTGATCCTATTACAACATACTTACTCAAAACCCTTTTGCCTTCACTCATCCAACCTATTACTCATATTATAAACAGATCCCTTGCAACTAATTATGTTCCTCAAGACCTAAAAGTAGCTGCCATCACCCCAATCCTTAAGAAACCTGGTCTTGATAACACAGATCAACAATTTTAGACCAATATCAAACCTCCCATTTGTTGCTAAAATACTTGAGAAGGTAGTTGCAGCACAACTGCAGTCTCATTTAGAGAAACATAATCTTTATGAGCAGTTTCAATCTGGTTTCCGTCCCTCTCACAGCACAGAAACAGCATTTTTAAAAGTGGTTAATGATCTCCTTCTGGTTTCTGATTCAGGTGCCCACAGTATCCTGGTTCTCCTTGATCTGAGTGCAGCCTTTGATACTGTTTGCCACTCTGTTCTTCTTTCTCGACTATCTGCTATAGGTATCACTGGTGCTGCTCTTCAGTGGCTAACTTCATATCTATCATATCTATCGCAATTCGTTAGGATAGATAAGAATAGATCTCACACTGTCACTATTTCCCGTGGTGTCCCCGGTGTCCCCCTACTTGGTCCACTTCTATTTCTCATTTACGTGCTGCCACTGGGTCAGATTATCAGACGTCATGGTCTCAATTTTCATAGCTACGCTGATGATATTCAAATCTATTTTACGGTTCAACCCAACTCAGTTTGTCCACCCCTTTCTATAGGTTCCTGTCTTCAAGAACTTAAAACCTGGATGTCAGATAACTTTTTACAACTAAACGCAGACAAAACGGAAATCCTGCTGGTTGGCCCTAAATCACAGAGCTCTTCCCAGCATGACATCTTCATAGATATTGATGGTGTCCAGATTAGGCCCTCAACAACTGTGCGAAGTCTGGGAGTGTTGTTTGACTCTGTGTTATGCTTTGATTCACATATTGGTCAGATTGTTAAATCATGCTTTTACCAATTGCGGAATATTGTTCGTATACGTCCCTCACTTAATTTTGGAGATGCTGAAACTATTATCCATGCTTTTATAACCTCCAGATTGGATTACTGTAACTCCTTATATGGCGGCTTACCTGCCAAAGTTATTAATC